CCCCAAAACCCCAAAACCCCATCAAGATCATTATAGAATATTAAAAGGATATGTTTAAACTTTAAATAATATTTATAATATACATCAATGGATAAAAAGAGTAAGTAGATTGACCCCAAGAAATCGAAAACACAACAGATTAAAACTGAAAAAGAAATGCTAGATAAGAACATTAAATCTGGGGATAGTTATAAATTCAAACTATTAAAGCTAAAGAAATTCTAATCAGAGGTTCCAATTGACGAAGATGCTTTTAAATTTCCATCAACCAATACAAATTTGACTTATAATTCATTGGATTTGAGATAGCTAGACAAGTGAAATAAAAATGAATAAACAAACAGCAGTATGGGAAAGATTGTATAGTCTCCTAAATATAGCGAGAATAAGAAGAAATTAGAGTCCAGAGACAAAGAAGAATTGAAGAGTTTTCAGACCACAAGAGGCTAGAGAGAAAGAAAAGCAATAAGTGCTGCTAGGAAATTGTAAGAGATGGAGGAACGAATCAGAACTTTAAAACCAAAAGCAAGTTTAAAGAAGAAGAATTCCATTACTTAGGATGATGCTCTGAGAATGATTATCGACAGAGATATCAATTACTTCTCAAAGAAAGTGAAATCTGCTTTGACTTAATTATGGAATGATGACTATCAATTCAACAGCAGATAAAGAAGAAGACTATGGCTAGTTTTATCTGGAGCATAACAGCAATTAAGTTCAAAGCTTTCGTAAGATAATTATAAGAATTTAAAGAATCTCAAACTGAGATACCCAAATCCTTGCTTTAACTAAATTGATCTTGACTTAAAAAGAACTTAAATGGATTTAGGGCTTAGATCAGATAATTTTTTGAGTTAGCTGAGAAATATATTGGTATCTTATGTCAAAAGAAATCCTTCAATCGGCTACTGTTAAGGTATGAACTTTATAGTAGCTAAATTCTTAACAATAATGAGTGAATAAGAATCTTTCGAAACATTTACTCAAATAATTGAAAGTATCCTACCAATCGATTATTACACTAATATGGTGGGAATTTTGATTGATTAGAAAGTTCTAAAATACTATATTTAAGATTTGATGCCTCAATTGTTTGAGCATCTGGATACTATTAAGTTTGATCCAAGTCTTTTCATTTTCTAATGGTTCGTATGCCTATTTTCAAACAACATTAATTACGATGTAAGAAATCATTTTATTTCATTAAATTTTCAGATATAAAACAAGATTATGGACCTTTTCTTTATCAAAGGATCAAAGGCTTTGTTCTGGGTATCAATTGCAATCATCTACAACCTTAAATAATAGTTACTAGAATCTAGTGATTTCCGTAAATACTTCTCTTTAGAATTAATCTTTATGTAGAGAGTGCTTTTCTTTTAGTTGATCAATATTCCAAAGTAGATATAGAAACAAGCCAACTTATTGATGGAGTTAAGAAAGTATGTAGATTCGTTAAAGGTAAAAGGATTACATAACTCAGAGAGGAGTTTAGACCACTTGTTGAGAAGGAGCTTTAGGAGACAATAGATTAGAAAGAGACTTTAAACTAAGGGCAATATTTGAAATTTCAATTCATAAACAGATTTTATTTATACCCTGGGCTTCACAAGTTCTACAATCTCAATGAGAACAGCCAATAATTAAGCTGTTAAAATGTAGAGTAATTCAATAATAAGTTATTCAATTATTTTCACTGCGATCCGAAATGGCCTGTATGTTTATACGACTATACCTATAAAAACAAAATTCCTAATTACTTATGCTTCAAAATTGCATCAGAATTGACATAATTCATAAAAACTGATTATTTTTATCCAAATCAAAATGAAAATTTAGATAGCGACCAAATCTTACAAAAGATACTTAATGAAGAGCTAAAACTCAAAGAATTAAAAGATTAGATTTTGATTGAGAGAAATGAGCATATGTGCACAAATTAGTATGACAGCCATTAGGAGTTTGAAATGAAATTCAAGTATTTGCTTTCCGAAAAATGCGAAAGCTTTAGTCATTTGCCATCGTTTTAAATCAATATTAACGATTAAATGAGTATGCTAAGATGCAAGGAGGATTTAATTATGATTGTAAGTTGTACCCAAGTGGAGCCAGATTTTATAAGAAAGTAGAAGGAAAAAGAAAATTAAAGCTATTAAATTTCAACAAGAGAGAGTTAAATGAATAAATAGAGGATAAAAGATATTATTTTGAGAAACATAGAAATTCCACCTTCTTTAAGTAAGAGGTCGACATCAGTATCATCAGGCGAACGAATGATTGAAATATTGAGATTTAAATCTTACCCCAGTAATGTTAAATCTGAAATCATGATTTCTAAAATTAGAGCGAGATAGTAATCCTGCTGAGTTGATCATGAGTATCGAATATTAGTATTTGCTTTTAACCTACAAATTTATTAAATATATTTGCTGAGGCTATGAATAAAAAATCTAATATTGCATTATGGTGGGGGTTTTGGGGTTTTGGGG